CCGCCGAGCAAAGCACCATCGAGCTCGGGCCGCACGGGGTGTCCTGGGAACGGTAGTTCCGCCGAGCGGCAGCGTCCTTGGCCAAAACGGGAATCCTGGACCTTTGCCTGGATTTAAAAAACACACCCGGACGTAGCACAGGGGCCAAGAACCGGGCATGTCCGGGAGACCCAGGCTTATGGCAACCCCGGCACCGCCCGGGCCGGAGGGAACGGAGCCCCCGGGACCCCCCACGCCGCCCGCCGGGCCCTGCACAGCCGGGGCGGGGCCGCGGGGAGGGGAAGCTCGTGGGGGCGCGAGGCCACGATCTGTGCGGGCCGGGGCCGTTCCACGCTGGGGGCGCGGCGATACTGGGAGGGGTCCTGGCAATACACCGAGCCTCGGGGTGACTGCAGCCCCCACCCCTCCGCCGGGAAAGGTCTGGCCCGGTCCGGTCCCACCCTGCCCCAGCGAGCTGCTGCCCCGCGCGTGAGACCCCGCCCAACCCGCTCGCCGCCGCCGCTCTGCCCGACCCTCCGCTCTCTATGGTCTGGCGGCGTTCTTGCCACAACTGTCTGTGGTGCGTAGGCTCCGCCCCTGGGCGGGGCGGGGCCGCTCTCGGGTCACAGCCGCCGGCCCGCGGCTGCCGGTAGGTGAGTGTTGCCGCTGGGGGAGGCTGCTGGGCGAGCGCGGCTGCGGCGGGGCTGGAAGAGCTGCATCCTTGGGGCGTGGCAGTGACTCCGGCCCGTCCACCCCGCCCTGTGCTGCTGCCCTCCTCCCCTCTCCCCCCAGGTGGCCCTGCGGCCTCTCCCCGCTTCTCTGCGGCCCCCGGGCCGGAGCGGCCCTGCCGAGCTCGCCTTGTGCCACCGGCCCCGGGGCCACCTGCTCACTCGTCCTCCTCAGGCCGCAACCGTCGCCCTTGTTCGCACGCGGCCCCAGGAGGGACAGGCAGTGCAGCCGCAGCGGCAGGTCGGGCGGGGAGCAGAAAGCCGGATTGCGGATAAGGGCCGGGAGCAGAAAGTAGAGCAGCAGGGAAGGGGATAGAAGTGGCACCCCGGGAAGGTGAGGGAGCTGTTTTGTGGCTACCAAAAACGTTGACTTGTGCTGTCCTAAGGCTTGTCGTGGAAAGCGTTATACCTGGCTTGTTTTAACTAGTGCCCTGTTCTGCAGTGGTGTGTTATTAATGAGAGAGCCCACTGCTTTCTTTGTAGGTGAGAAATGAATGGGCATCCTCCCTAGGATTTAATACATGTACTACCAGAGTATAGAGCAGGGGTGGGCAAAATGTGGCTCACAGGCCACCAATTGACTGGATCTGGCCCATGGCTGGACTCGGGGCCAAGCCCCACCCAGCCCCAGGCAGCCAGCACTGTGCCTGGGAGGACTTCTCCCCATGCTCCCCACCTCCCCTTGCCTCCAGTATTGGCTCCTCCTCCTGCCCCTGCTTCTGCCCCAACTCTGACTGAGTGGGTAGCTGCAGCTAGGCAGCTCCTGCCTCCGTGCATGGGGCTCTGGCTGCCTTCCACCCGCTCCGCCCGTCTGGCTTGATGAGCAACCAGCTGCTGGCAGCCAAGTGGATGGAAGGTGGCTGGGAGCTGAAGCCTTATGCACTGGGGCAGGAGCTGCCTGGCTGTAGCTTTCTCCCATCTTGGAGTGGGGCAGCAGGAAGAGGGGGAGCTGCTGCAGGCCAGGGAGATGAGCAGTAGCAGGAGCAGCCCTGCCATTAAGCTGTGAAGGCTGGCCAGGGCCAGGTCAGTGGGAGGGCAGCACCGGGGCAGGCAGGCCTCTACCCTTTGCAAAGCGGTGCATGGGCAGCTGCAGACCACACCACCCGGGGCAACTTCTGCATGCACGGCCTGCTCCCATGACCTAGCACCCAGCCTCCTACCCCTGGCTCTGCCCCAGGCCCCCAGCCCTGCATATCCCTGCCTGCAGAACTAGGGCCTTGGCCCTGGCCCTGCCCCCTGATTCAGGGTCTCCATGGTGACTGGCTGAGAGGTGCACCATCAGGGTCCAGGGCTAGACAGGTGGGGAGCTGCATCTGGGGCCAGGATCTTGGGACAATGACAGCGCGAGGCTGGAGCCCATGGCAGAGTCACGATCTGTTCCCTGCCCACCCCCGCCTGTGCAACCTGCACCCATCACAGGGGTGTGCGGGTAGTGGATTGCAGCTCTGCCATGGGCCCTGGCCCTGCACTATCACAACCCTGTGACTACTCCATGATCCCGGCCTCCCCGGTGGTCTACCCCATTCACCACCCACCCACAGCCCCATCCTGCACAGGGAGTTTTGGTGAATGTTGTGGGATGACCCAGCCTGCAACCGCTCATAAAAACTCCCTACGTGGTTCACAGGCCCAAATAATTGCCCACCCCAGAGATACAGACTTCTAAGGTCAGAAAGGACCATTGTAATGAAGTAGTCTGACTTCTTGCACTGCACAAATCTTGGGAGTGTATCAGTTCTGTATGCTGGCCTAAAAGAGTATAAAGAAGCAATTCCAGACCCACCCATAGTACAATTTAGGCATAGCTGTTTAAAAAAAAAAAAAAAAAAAAAAAACCTTTTCTTGCAC